ATGGGGACAGAGCTTCCGTTTGGGGAGATGGAAAGTTCTGGAGACGGATGGAGGGGATGGTGGCACAACCACGTGGCTGGGCTTCATGCCACTGGGCTGTGCGCTTACAAATGGTTAAAAGGGTGACTTTTACGTATATTTTACCATAATAAAAAAAAAATGAAGGTTCTGATTGCTTAAGAAAGAAGGACAGAGGCCCCGGGGTCCGGCGTCCCCGCTGCCAGCCTTGCTCACCGCTCTGGCGCCGACGTCACCGGCGCGGACCCCCAGCCCCGGGCGCGCCGTCCCGGCCTCGGCGGCTGCAGAAGCGGCTTCCAGAAGCCTCGCGGGGCCGCAGGCCCGGCTCCTCCCCCGGCCGGGCCCCTCCCCGGGCGCGCTGGGGGCAGAGCTGACATTTCGCCGGCACACCCGGGGCGGCCCAACCAGGTGCGCGCTGTGGAAACAGCCTGGCGCCACCGGGCGCATCGCAGCCCCCGAGCCCGGGGTCCCCGCGCCCTCTCCCGGGACCCCCCACCCCCACCCCGAGCATCACGGAGCAGCGACGCTCCCGCAGCCCCGATGCTCGCGGCTGGGTGGATGCTGGGTCCCTGGCAGCTGGGGGGCCGGGGCAGCTCAGGGTGGAAGAAGCTGGGGGGCTCCTCCGGGGGCGCTGCCGTCCCCACCCCGCCCGCGGCTCAGCCTTCCCATCCGCGCAATGGGCCCCTCTCCGCCGCCACCTGGCGCTGGCCCCTCCCCGCGCCTGCGCGCTGCGCGCCCGGCGCCCCCTCACTTCCGGGCTGGACACGCGACCCCCCAAGCACCCCTGGGGACCCCGATGAGGGTTCCCAAGCCGGGGGCCTGCCTGCCTGCCTGGCGGGGTCTGGCTCAGAGCTCACCACGGGAATTCGCGTAGGGCAGTGGGTCACACCAGGGGGGTGACTCCTCATCTCCCAGGAGACACTGGGCTACGTCTGGGGACATCTGTGGTGGTCACACTGGGGGTGCTCCTGGCATCGAGTGAGTGGGGGGCCGGGGATGCTGCTCGACACCCCTCAGTGCCCAGGACGGCCCCCCACAGGGAGTGATGTGGCCTCCAATGTCCCCAGTGCCGAGGGGGAGACACTGTGCCGGGGTCTCAGTTCCATCCTGCCTGCTGCGGAACGTGCTCGCTGGCTCCACCCTCTCTGTGCTCTGCGGAGACGGGAAACCGCCGCGCGGTGGCCTGGGGACAACCCCGCACGCGAGCCACCCCGCTGCGCTCCGCTCCCAGCTCCCCGGCAGACCCTCCTGCCCGCCCCCCACCCGCCCCAGGCAGCCCGTCTCCACCCTCGGGGGACCCCGGCTTTGCATCTGTGCCTCGGGCCGCGGAGATGGTCCCCGGGGCTCAGCGTCACCCCGAGGGAACGAGGCCAGTCCTGCCCCGGCCCCTCCTCCGCCACCCACAAGATGGCATCCCCCGGAGACTGCGGCGCGAGGGGACCCGCGGTGGGGCCGGCGGCGGGGCGGGCGGGGGGTGGCGGGGGGTGGCGGGGGAAGGGAGAACGTGGCAGCATTTCTGGCCGGCCGGACCTGCCCCTCGGTTTTCTTTTTTTAAAATCACCGCAATTTACAGCGCGGCTCTTCCCTCCATCCTGCCTCCTGCCACGTGGGCCGCCCGAGGACTCCCCCTTGCCCTCTCCCCTCCAACGGGCTGCGCTGCCAGGCGGTGGCTTCGGTTTCACTTCGGTGTCACTTGGTTTCACTTTCAGGGCCCGGGAGAGAAGGGACAGGCAGAGCGAGGGAGGGAGCGAGAGACAGACAGACAGACAGACAGAGACGGAGAGACAGAGAGACAGAGACAGAGACAGAGGAGAAGCTAGGTCAGGTGCAGGGTCAGCCTCGGCCCCCATCCGGAGGGACCACCCCCCGCAGCTCCATTCCTGGGGATTCTGGGAATCAAGGTCAAGGGGTCAAGGTCAAGTCCTCTCTGCGTGACCCTGGGCAGGACAAGCCACCTCCTGGCTCCAGGCTCTTTTCTCCCCGGGGCCTCCCGCCTCCCGTGACAGCGGGGCTGGGCATCGCGTCCACCCCACGGGGTGCTGGGCAGATCAAAGCCCCGCTGACCGCTGACCCGGGCCAAGGACAGTCCCACAATGTCCCCAGTGGGAGGGGGCGGGGCAAGGTCCAGCGCAGGACAGGATGTCAGCTGCCTTCACCCCGCGAGGCACCCTTGGCCCAGAAACCACGGGGAAGGAGGATCCGTGTGGCCTGAGACTGGGGCCCGGGGCGGAGAGGGGAGACGTCGCCCCCGAGGTCACCTGCCGTGGCCTGGGGCTCTGTGGTCTGGCGGCCTCGGGCTGGAAGCCCGCTGTGCTGCTCTCCCGCCCTCCCGCAGGCCTGCCTGTCTCTGGGCGGTCAGCGGTGAAGTGGGCGTGGCCTGCTCGCTGCCCCGCCCCCCGGCCTCCGTCCTGCCCGCAGGCTGGGGGTCCTGGCGCCTTCAGCTTTCTCCCCAGCAGCAGCTTAGGCTCAGGGCTGGTAAGGGACTCAGCCAGACCGGACAGGGGAGCCGCCCTGGGGGGTCAACAGGTCCCACCCCACACGGTCACCCACTGGAAGTGCACGTTTCACCGGGTTTAGTGCATTCACAGAATCGTGCAGCCATCACCATTCTCTAAGCTTAGAACATCCCATCTCCACAAAAGGAAGCCCCATCCCCATCAGCATCAACCCCAGCCCACCCCCAGCCCCTGGCGCCCACGAGCCCGCTCTCTGTCTGTGGATCGGCCTGTTCTGGACGTTTCATGTCCATGGGGTCACACGCCGTGTGTCCTTCTGTGTCTGCTTCTTTCCCTGAGCGTCGTGTGTGCAGGTCCGTCCACGTGCAGCCGTGTCAGGGCCTCGCTCCTCTTCACGGCCGCGTCGTATTCCCCCTCCCGGATGGACCCCGGTGTGTGTCCATTCTTCAGCTGGGGACCGTGCGATGGTGTCCACTGTGAGTCGCGCTGCTGTGAAGGCGGGCAGGTGTCAGGGTAACCGGTGTCCACGGTGCCTGTCCGCCCGCGGTAACGGGGGGAAGGGGGCCCCTGCGCTTTCCGGGGCGAGAAGCAGACCCTAAAACGCACAGAGTGAAGCAGCGCCCGGCAGAGGCGGCGGCGCCTTCCCCGCGCCCACCCGGGCTGGACGGAGTGTGAACCCGGGACTTTCAAACACAAAACTCTTGAGAGGCTTCCAGAACCTCAGGGGCGGCGGACCTCGGCGCAGGCCCGGAGAGCGGCAGGGCCGGGCGGGTGGGGAGCACAGGCCTGCGGAGCGCGGCCCCTCCCCTTCGATGAGGGGGAGAGCGGCTGGGGCCGGGCAGGCCGAAGGGAGGGGAGGGGAGGGGAGAGGAGGGGAGGGGTTGGTGGAGAGGAGGGGCTGGGGGAGGGAAGAGGGAGGGGAGGGGGAGAAGGAGGAGGGGCTGGGGAGGGGAGGGGAAGAGAAGGAGGGGAGGGGCTGGGGGAGGGAAGAGAGGAGGGGAGGGGAGAAGGAGGAGGGGCTGGGGGAGGGGAGGGGAGAGGAGGGGAGGGGCTGGGGGAGGGAAGAGAGGAGGGGAGGGGGAGAAGGAGGAGGGGCTGGGGGAGGGGAGGGAAAGGAGGGCTTGGGAGGGCTTCCTCCTTTCGCAGGTGGCCCCCCCCGCCCCCGCACCTGTGCCGGCGGCCCGCCCACCTTGGGCGGGGAGCCCCCGGGCCTGGGCGGAGGAGGAGTCACACAGGATCCGACTCCTGTCACCTCGGAGCCACTTCCTGCTCTTTAATGTGGGGTGAAGACAGGAGACAGCGCCCCTCGGGCTTGACGCATCCCTCCCCGCCTGGCCCGCGGGAGGAGGGGCTTCCCCCCCCCCAGCTCCCTCCAGCCCCCCAGCCTGGGACCCCGGGCCTCGTCCTTGCTCACGCACCTCCCTGCTGGAGGGGGGTAGGGCTGAGCAGCCCGGCGAGACCCCCACCCCTCTGCGGACCCCGGACCCCAGGAATCCGGATCCCAGTCGCCCCGCCCCCTCCTCCAGCCCAACCCCGTGTGGTCCTCGGGGAGACCAGGGGCTCGTCTCTCCGTGCGCGCCCTGCCCGCTTGCACATCGTCTTGGGCAGATGTCCACTGGGACCCTCGGCCCGCTTTCTAATGGGGCGCTGGTCCTTGGGCTGCTGAGTGCTAAGGGCTCTGTTTATCTCTGCATATTCCGGGCGCTAGACGCGTCCCCAGACAGAACCTCAACTGCGCTCTCCCACCCCGTGGGCTGTCTTCACTCTCTCCATGGTGCCCTTTGACGCCCCCGTTTTTAATTGAGATCAAGCTTTCTCCGTCCCCACAACATCCAAGGTCACCAAGAGGAAGGAGATGGGTGCCAGGGCCGGGGGGGACGGCCGTGACCTGTGGGGGAGCTCGCTGCTGAGCGTGGGGGATGTCGGGCCACAAGGAAGAGTTATGGGGGCTCAGAGAAAGAGGGGAGCCCCTCCCCAAGGAGAGGTGACTTCTGCGCAGGGCGGAGGGAACAGAGGAGGAACGGTGTGGGGATGGACGGCGGTGTCTGGGGCCCCGGGGACAGGTGGGCCTGGTCTTCTGGGAGGATGGGGGGACACGGGGATAGTTTCTCAGGGGCTTCCACACCAGGCACAGCTCTCAGCTGGTGCGCAGTGACCCGGGACTCCTGGATAAGGGTATTCGTGGAATGATGGTTCTAGATAGTTCTAGAAAGTTCTGGATGGTTCTAGTTTGGCGTTGAAGCTGCTCAGGATACTGGGGGCGACGGCTTCGGCCTTGGTTCTCAGGTGGCATGGCAGAAACACCAGGCCTCAAGCGCCATGGGCCACGCTGAGGGGCCCCGCACCCCTTCAGTGTCCCCGTCCAGCGATCCCACAGCTCAGGGGCCCCCTCTTCCTGCTTGGAGGGAGAAGGGGCCTCTCAGCTGGGTGGGCCCGGTGGTGGTGAACCCACCACCAGCTGGCATCGTCCTCTGAGAGCGGGTGACAGCCAGGCGCCTGATGCTGGAGAGAAAGGGGCAGACGGGCCTGCCAGCAGCTGACTTTTTTATTAAGGTCAAATCCACCCCTTAAAACATTTCAAGGGTACAATTTAGGGCTTTTCAGTGCATTCACATAGTTGTGCAACCATCACCTTGATCTTGTTCCAGAACATTCCATCACCCTAAAAAGAAGCCCTGTCCCCATGAGCAGTCCCTCCCCAGCCCCTGGCCCCCACGAGCCCGCTCTCTGTCTGTGGATCGGCCTGTTCTGGATGTTTCATGTCAATGGGGTCACACGCCGTGTGTCCTTCTGTGTCTGCTTCTCTCTCTGAGCGTCGCGTGTTCAGGTCCGTCCACGTGTGGCCATGTCAGGGCCTCGCTCCTCTTCACGGCTGCGTCGTGTCCCAGTGTGTGGAGGGACACGTGTGTGTGTCCATCATCTGGTGATGGACGTTTGGGTTGTGTCCACTTTTTAGCTCTCGTGACTCGTGCTGCCGTGGACATTCAGGAGTAAGCGTCCGTGTGGACACGTGTCTTCATTTCTCCCGCGTGGACACAGGGCTGAAGTGCCAGGTCCGAAGGTCGCTCCCTGTTTAACTCCTCTGAGGGTGACCAGCTGACTTGCAGGGGGTTTACCAGGGGCGGGAACCGTGCTGAGTGTGACGGGGCTCAGGGCACCCCAGAAGCAGCGTCCTGAGGGCCACCCGGTCCTGCGCCCACGGCCGACGGGCGTGGCAATGCTGATGCGCTCCTGTCCGGCTGGGAGGCCCCTCGCTCACCCCCCTCCCAAGCCCCAGAAATCGAAGGGTCCCCCGGATACAGCGGGGCCTCCTGACCCCTCCTGCGCCGAGGCCCCCTCCCCGCCCGCCCCGAGTGGTCACCGCTCTGCTGGACGCTTGCTAAGGCCTTTGACCCCCGACCCCTAGTGCATACCCCCAACCAGGCCAGTCTCTCCAGGGGTCCCCGTGATGCAGTTTCACCGCCAGCCTTTGCTCAGGCCGGTTCCCCGGCTCCGGGATGCCCTCCGCGCCCCCAGGGCTCTGGGTCACTGTCCTTCGTCCTTCGCAGGTGGTCCTCGGCCGGACGTCGTCTCCCGGGGTCTGCCCCGCGCTGGCTCTGGGGCGCGGTGAGCTCTCTCGGGCACCGTGGCCGGCTCTGGGGCCACTGAAGCCATGGGGGGGCTGCTCCTCCATCCTCCAGGACCCCCACGGGGCCTGCATGGGAGCCCAGCGCCCTGTGGACCGCAGACACTGACCGAGGTGGAGGCCGGGCTGCAGCGTCCACCCCGGGGGAGGTCGGCGTCTCTCGACTGGCCTCCTGTCGCCTTGGGCACCCTCCCCGGGGCTCTGCGCCCGATGCGCACACGGGAGGTCCCGCTGCCCCGGGTGGCTGTGGGTGATGCTCACCGGAGGCCGGGTTCCCCAGTGCGGCTCTGGGCCCGCGCCCTCTGTCCCCTGGGAAGCCGGGGCAGAAACCCGAACCTCGGCCTCATTGGGGCTGGTGGGGCCCAGGCCTCGCCCTCCCCCCTCCCTGAGCCACCCGCCCTGCTGTTGCCACGGAGACGGCAGGACAGGCCGGTCCTCCACCCACCTGGCCCGGGGACCTGGCCCCGTGCGCACCTGGTCATCAGAGCCCGGGGCGGGGTGGGGCCGGCCCCCCGCAGGTTTCGTTTTGAGCGCCGCCCCTTCCCTTTCTCCCCCCTCCCCTCCCCCAGACCCCCGAGTTCTGGGAAACTCGCCCTCTGCTTCCTCTGAACTCGCTTAACCCGGCCGTAGAGGCCGCCGAGAGGGGGGCCAAGTTCCGCCTCCCAGGCCTGAGGCTTCCTGCCTGGCACACACCTCCGCCCCCCGCGGCCTCGGTGGAGCAGTACGCTTCTCCCTACCTTCCAGAAGGTTCTGGGCCCACATCCCCCTGCCACACCGTCCTAGGCTCTGGAAACAGGAAATCCGGTGGCTTCAGGGTCTCACCTCTGCTATGGGGAGACGGTGGCCTCCTACCCCGTCAATTCAGGGAGGAGTTTGGGCCAAATCAGGCACTGATGACATCACCTCGGGGAGGGTCACTCCCTGGGGGGCCGTCCTGGGCGCTGTGGGGGGGCCGAGCAGCATCCCTGGCCCCACCCACTCGATGCCAGGAGCACCCCCAGTGTGACAGCCACAGACGTCCCCAGACGTGGCCCAGTGTCCCTGAGTTGAGGGGCAGAATGGCCCCCATAGAGACCAAAGTGATCGCAGGGAGGGGACAGAGCACAGGGGTCAGACCCGCACTGACCGCCCGGCAGCCACCGGCCACTCAGGGCACCGAGCGCTCGAGACGCGGTCGGTCCGAACTGAGAAGGGCTGTGAGGGCAAAACATACGGTGTCACGGAGACTTTTTACCAAAACAAAAGGATGTCGAGGGCCACCCTGCCCTTTCTCATGCTGATAGCGAGGGGAAATGGTGCTGTTTTGGCTCTCGGGCCACTTTTCCTTCCATCTCTCCCCGCCTCCACACCCCACTCCTGAGGAGGGGACGGGCCGGCTGATGTGCCAGGAGAACCCCTCAGGGGGAAGGGGCAGGGGTCGCCGAGCCCCAGCCGCAGACAGCGGACACTTGGACGGACCCCCAGCAGAGGACCGCGGCCGCGGCAGGAGCCAGGCGACTCCGAGGGCCTCCCGCCGGGCTGTCGGCTGAGCTGCTCCGGGCTCCGGGCACCAGCGGCAGCGAGAGGACCAGGCGGGACCCGGGGACAGCGCACGCGGTCACCTAAAGTGCTGTTTGTTACGATGAAAGATTGAGCTGAAAAAAAAACTCGCGCTGACGAGTCGCTGGATGTTTTCTTCTAATCCGAGCACAAAACAGAGTGAGGGGCCGGCCCGGGGGCGAGCGGTTAAGTTCACACGTTCTGCTTCAGAGGCCCAGGGTTTGCGGGTTCCGATCCTGGGTGCGGACATGGCACCACTTGGCAAGCCATGCTGTGGTAGGCGTCCCACATACAAAGTAGAGGAAGATGGGCACGGATGTGAGCTCAGGGCCAGTCTTCCTCAGCAAAAAGAGGAGGATTGGCAGCAGATGTTAGCTCAGGGCTAATCTTCCTCAAAAAAAAAAAAAAAAAAGAAAAGAAAAAGTAAAAAGAGTGAAAAGAACACTGACAAGGGGCACCCAGCGCGCCAGATTCTGCAGCTCCCATCCGCTTCCTGCTTGACTTCTTTGTTTGGGACAAAGAGGTCAGATGGGGGGGCGCCGGGGGGGGGTCACGGGGGTGACACGTGTCCACAGGTGGCCCCGAACAGCCACGAGAAACCTGGACCCCGCTGTCCAGGCCCCTCGGTCTCAGAACCAAGGAGCCCCTGGCTGGCCCCCACGTGTCATGAGACCCCAAACCCACGGCTGTGCGGGTTTCACAGAGGAGGCTGCCCCGTACAACGGGGACCCTATGAGCACGTCGCTGGTCTCGGAGCAGTGCCCCCAGGCCTGTGTGTGGTCAGCTTTGGCCCGATGGTCGGGAGCAGCCAGGCCTGGACCGCCGTGAACCGTGGAGGGTCGGGGGCTGGATTACAGGCTCCAGGTGTGGGGTGTCCACAGGAACGGGGGCAGGAGGAAGGGGACACCTGGCAACGGGCTGTGAGAACAGTCCAGAATGCAGACAGCGGCCTGTGCTGGGCTGACCTCCCCACCGGCTGCTCCTGGGGGCGCCCCGTTTCCGAGCCACCTCCCCACCCCCACCCTGGCGGCCGCACCCCGCCCATCCAGAATTCTCCCGCTCCCCTAGGACCCGGTCGTCGTGGTCTTTTAGCCCTCGCAACGGCAGCCAGCGCTGCTAAGAGGGGTCAGCCTGGCCCTGAGCGGTGACGCGCTCAGGACGGGCCCGAAGACGCGGCCCCCCTGACCACCAGCACCAGGCCCCGTGGACCAGGGCGAGGAGCACGGTTCACACCTGAGACCTGCCTCCCCCTGAGGATGCTCCCGAGGGAGCCGGGGACCCACAGAGCGACACCTGCGCCACTTTTAGTTATCCTTTTTATTCTTTGCTGAATCAGGTGAGGCTTTGGGGGCAAACTCTGAAGTGGCAGAAACCCGGACAGCCGGTTGAAGGAGCCGCCACCTTGTCTCCTCTGTGTCCACAAAAAAAAAACACAGGAGACGAGAAGGGTCTCCCTAAGAAGAGAAGGATCCCGCAGTTCCTACAGGGCCACAAGCCTCCTCTGAAACCCAGGGCCGGCTCGGCCCGACCAGGTTCCGGCCGTGCCTCCCGCGCGGGGGGATCCCGTCGCCGGCAACTCGTCACAAACCGGCATCAGCGGGTTTCTAGCCTTCAGAAGCACCGGGAGTGGCTCCCAGCTCCGACATCTTCAGGGCCTGGCGGAGGAGTGGCCCTGCCCTCTGCCACTTCCTACTGCCGGTGGCCCAGGGGCGGCCCTCGCCGTCTGCGGCGGCACAGCCCAGAAGGCAGGGAGGCCGGGCCTGGCTGGCCACCCCAGTGGACGCGGCCACCAGGACAGTGTCTCTCCTGCCGGCTCATTTCTGAGGGGCTGTGGCTGAACGGTCCAGCCCGAAAGAGACGCAGCCGGGGGTCCCGTGTGCCTTGCCAGGCGCGCGCAGAAGTGACAGAGCCGCCTGCCCCCGCCCGTGGGCCTGCAGGCGGGGGACCCGGCCTTATCTGGGGATCTGCTGGGTGACAACCGCACCGGCAGCCTGGAAACCATCACTTCCTTCCCGCCGGGCGAGCGTCAGCGTGGCGGCCGCTGTGGAGTCAGGCTCTGCCCAGGGGCTCTGGGCAGGACCAGAAGGTTCCTCGGGGGCACAGGGCCCGCTCCGCCTGGACAGGCCGGCTCGCCGCATGACAAGAGGCCGGTGTGGCCGGGCAGGGAGAGGACCCCATGACAGCTCTGCTGGGGAGCCCCCGAGGGGCAGATGGCGGGCGAGGGGGTGACACAGACGCGGGGCAGTAGCAGTTTCCTCCCCTGGGGAAAGGCGCCAGCGTCTGGGGGTCCCTCTCGTGGCCCTACCTGGCGCGGGTAGCGCCCCCCGGCGGGACCGGAGCTGACGCCCAAGAGTGAATGGGACAAGGAGTACGATGCTCCGTTTGCTTTTCTTTCCCCGATTTGTTGGTTTTCTTAAACCTAAGTGAGCAGGTTCTGAGAAGACAAGGCGAGCGGCATCCCGCGTCCCGGGGACCAGAGGCCACCCTGGCCGGTGGCTGTGGCACGTGGGGAGGAAGTTGGAGGCCGGCGGCTGGAGCGTCGCCCCGGAGGGTGGGCGGGCGGGAGCGGGAGGCGGCCGGTCCTGGCGAGAAGGGCGGGCGCGGACGGGGCAGGGGACGTGTCCCCGGCGGACGGAGCCCAGCGGTCACACGGCCGTGCGCGTGGGCGTGCTGGGCTGGTTCAGCCGCAGCGTCTTACACAGCCAGCCGGCAAAATCCACTTCTTCCACCTCCGACCGCTTGATGAAGGCGTGGTTCTGGAAGGGAGGAGGCCGTGAGCTGCCACCGCGGGGCCCGCCGGGCCCAGAGGTGACCCCCCGAGAGAAGAGGCCACGGCCCCGGAGGACGCCCTCAGGACGGGCAGGGACCAGACCCAAAGGCACCATGACATGGGGGCCGGGTCACTCCCTGGGGGCCGTCCTGGGCGGTGTGGGGGGTCGAGCAGCATCCCTGGCCCCACCCACTCGATGCCAGGAGACCCCCAGTGTGACAGCCACAGACGTCCCCAGCCATGGCCAGTGCCCCCTGGGGCAGAGCTGCCTTGGGTGGGGACGTCGGATCTGAAGGACAGGACTCTCTGTGATGACCACTCCCCTAGGTGTCCCGTCTGGTGGCGGCCACGGGCCACACGAGCTCCTGGGCCCCGAAACTCGGCTCTGGTGGCTGAAGGACAGAACTGTGCGTTCCAGGTCATTTTAAGGAACTCGGCCGCATGTGGCCGGCTGTCCCCATAGGACGGTGACAGCAGAGCGCTAGGTGGTCCTGGGAAGGGCCGGGAGGCGGCTCTCGTCTTCCTGGAGGAGGAGCAGTGACAAAGCCAGCCAAGCAGCCGGTGGCTCTCCTCAGGACGAGACCCGGCGGGTCCCCTGCACCGTGTGGCCGTGGGAGCTGGGGCCGTGCAGCGGTTTCTCCACCCCGTATATGTGCACATTTTACAAGAAACACGTATTTTCTACGTCACCCATTCTCTTAACCCGCGTTTCTGGAAAACCTCTATGTCAGACACAACGAGGAGTTTCCAGAAAGTCAGGCAGAGCCCTGCGCACACGGCGCTCCAGGCTTGGCTTTCTATCCCGAGCACGGCAAGTGGTGGCACAACTGGGACAATCGCCACAAGCAACAGAGGGAGGTGGGGTGGGACAGGATGCTGGGGCCTTCTGGGAGGAGGCGCCAGAGTGGAGACCTGCAGACGGGGAGCAGGAGCATCCTGTGCAAAGGCCCTGAGGTGGAGCGTGGCAGGGAGGCGGGCTGGAGGACGGGGAGGATGGGGGGCGGGCGGAGGCGGCCAGGCAGCGGGGTCTGGTCCTCGGGCGGGCTACCAGGACCCACTGAGGGGCACCGCTCGATTGTTTACAATGCCGCCATCCACCAGGGATCAGAGTCCCCTTTGCTCACGTTCGGACACCTGAGACGGTGACATCCTCCGATTGAAGCTGGCCCTGCTTTCTTCCAGGGTCACATAAACAACGGGCTTCCTAGGAGGGCGCTGGAATGTCGCCGATGGTGGACATAACACGGGGGCGCCGTGACGGCCTGCTAGAGGCCAGGGGTCAGCCCCACTTCGTGGCCGGTCCCCATCCATGCCAGGGAAGGCGAGTTTGTGTGACCGCCCTGGTTTGAGGATGCTGAATGCTGTGGGTTTAGAGAAAGGCCAGCAGCCCGCGGCCCCCCCGACAAGCCCGAGGCGGGAGTGGCTGGAAGCTCACAGCTTGGTGGCCCAAGAGACACAGCCCGACCCCCCGCACGGAGCTCGGGGACGTCGCGGCTCTGGATCCTTCCCCGAGCGGGCCAGGGAGAGCCAGTTCTCCACGCCCCACGCTCTGGACAGCAGGGTCGGCTCGGGCCTGGCGGGGTCCCCTCTCCCGAGGAGGAGGGGGCGGCTGGGTGGCACCTGCGCCCCGTGACCCCCGAACCCGCGACGTCACTCACCATGAGCATCTTCAGATCCGCTCGCTCGGCTGGGTTCTTAATGAGGCTGCGGTTCCACGGGGCGGCGCCGGGGGAGACAAGACCGGGCGGTTAGTCGTAGCTGGGGGACTGGCGTCCGAGCTGTGACCCGGCAGCCTGTGCCAGCCTGTGCCCGGGGATGCAGCGAGGCGCAGGACCCATCCCACTGTCCCCCGCCACCTGGCACCCGTGGTGTCAGGGCAGGACGCCCCCGGGTGGGGGAAGGGCAAGGCTCTGTGACCCGGACACCAGGGAAAGGGAAAGAAGGTGGGAAAACCCCTGGCTGCCGCTCGGTCAGAGGCCCGGCAGCCACTGCAGCTACATTTCTAATAAAAACCCCAAGTTCGGGAGTCCAAATGTCAAAGTGGAACTTTTTCCTTCAAAAAAGCAGAACTGCCTAAAGGCAGCTGCCTGAAGCAGCCTGGGGCCGAGCGCCAGCTCTCCACACGTCACGAAACCTCCTGCATGAGTATAAAAACGTTCACACGACCAGCAACTGGATTCGCAACATATTGTGCTGGCCAGAGGTCGTGCAAAGGGCCGGTGGCGCCTTCACCACAAAGAGCACATTTGCTGCTGTGAGTCAGGCAGCCCCTGGGGCGGCAGCATCTGCTTGTCCTGACATGCAGGGTGGCCCCAAAGGCAAGTAGGGCAGCCTGGTCCCTCCTTCTCGGTCCACAGCCCGCCCACCCTTGTCCCTGTCCGCAGGCCACTTCCCAGAGCATGCTCGAAGGCTTGGAGCCTGGGGGGCTGAAGGCCAAGAGATTAGGACGTGGGGGTGCCTGCCAGCTGAAGGCAAGGCGGGAGCAATGTGGTTTCCAGAGCCCAAGACCCTGGTTCACCAGGGCTGGGGCGAGCTGGGGGCGGCAGCCAGGCCTGTAGCTCAGCAGCCTGGGAGAGGGAACCTGGGTGTCCGGTGAGCCCCGGGATCCGCCAGCCACTGCCCGCTGCCTGGCCTGGGAGGACGGTGGGGTGTGGGCGGCCATCCCTGAGGCGGGCGGGGCCTGTGCCGGTTGGCACCTGCCGTGGCCCGCCCGAGCCCGTTGAAGGCCTGGCACCTTACCATTTATTTACAAACTCCTGGAAGTCCTGCGTGAAGGCGCCGTGGGGCAGCTTGGGAGGAGGCTGTGGGAGAGAACAGATGGGGGGGTCAGGCGCTCAGAGTGGCTCCAGAACCACGGAGGGGATGGCACCTTCCAGGGACCCTCAGGATGCGCCTCCCCGCTCCGCACAGCAGCCTCCCGCAGGCCCCGCCGCCCCTCCCGGCTGGCTCGGACTCTTCCGGGCCTTGCTTTCGAAAGCTCTCGTTTGGGAAGGAGGGAAGGAGGGCAGGGCCACCCTCACCTTACAGACAAGGGTGGTCACCCTGTCATGCTACCCACCTCGGTGGGCCCCGGGGAAGGAGCAGTGGGCCTGGACCACACAGAGGGCAGCCAGCTCCAGGTCTTGGCCCGAATGCTGAGGACCCCAAGGGGCTGGCCCGGCACATGTCCCGGGGTGGGGACAGGCCCATCAGGGATGGCGGGGGGAAGAGACTGTCCCAGTGACACCCACAGTGCCTACCCCTCCTCCACTCTCTGTGTCCCCAAGTCCTGGGCCCACCTTCCAGCTCAGGGCTGGGAGGGCTGGTGGCCTCTGGAGGACTGCTGGGCCAGGCGCTGCTGGAGGTGCAGGGAGAGCTGTCACCAGAGCCACGGCGCCCTGCTCTGACCCACTCACCTCAACACCCAGCCCTGGGCCGCACTTCTCCTGGACTCTGAAGGGCCGCGGAAAACATCCGGCAGCCCCCAGAAGGCCCAGGGAGCGGGCAGGTGTGCCGAGGGCAGGCGGGCTGTGGGGTCAGGCCGCGAAGGGGCAGCTTCCCTCTTTATGCCTCAGTTTACTAGTCTGTTCACGGGGAACATTTGCACCACCCGCTCACGGCCGGCCCGCAGGCCTCCGCGCCTCCTCTCCAGGGGCGCCCGGGCCTGCACCTTCCCAGGGGGGCGGGATCATTTACGGCTCCCTGTGCCAGGGCTCCAAGATGCTCTGGGTGTCCGAGCTCCAGGGAGGGCCAGGCTCCCAGCCCAGCACCCGGCCACAGGCCTCGGAGCGGCCACCGTGGGAATTCTGGGCTCAGTTTTGCACAAACAACAAGACGTCCCTTGGGGAGCACGGATCTGGGTTGTGGAGGGAGGACAGTCACCTATGGGTATGGCTGACACCCTCCTAGTGACACGGACACCCCTCTCCCTCCCCATCGAGACCCACGTCTACGCGTGGCATTCTCTCCTTCTCAGCGCCGTATCCTGGCAGGAACGGCCTAGTTCCGTCGCTGTGAAGACGTGCCGAGGGGGCTGCGCATACACACCTCATTCACAATATAGTCCAGCAATTCGAAGATGGCCATGGCCGGCCGGCTGTCCATCCCGTGACCTGCCCGGGGGGAGAGAGACAGCGGTGAGGCAGGCAGGTGGCCCCGCGCCCACCGGCTTCTGGGTCGTGTGGACGTGGCCGGCGCCCTCCTCCCCACACCGCCTGAGCTGGGGGCCCCCGCTAGCCGGGCGGCCATGCTCCCGCACCGCCTTCCTGGGATGGTCACTGCTTTCTGAGCCTCTGGCGAATTAAAACAAAACAACACGCCACAATGCACAGGGGCGCTTTTGGAGAAGTCACACATTCAGCCCCGTGCTGCGGCCAGGCCGGGCCCAGGCCACCACCCCTGCTTTCTGGCACGCAGGTGGGCGTGGGGGAGCTGACCGAGAGCAAGGACGGCAGTGTGACCTTGCACGGACACGGCAGCAGGCCCCACATGCCGCTGAGCGCGGGCGGGCGGCCGGGGGCGGCTGACCCCTGTCCTAGACCCAGCTGGCCAGGTCCGGGTTTGGCAGCTGGACTTTCGCCTTCTGTCCTCTGTCCTCAAATGGGCACGTGGGCCGGGGCAGGTGCTGGCGGGCCGAGGCGGGCGGGCACAGCCCAGCGGTCCTCCCCACAAGGAAGGGGTCACGGTGGGACGCCCACTGTGCCATCTGGGAGCTTGGAGGGGCGGAGCGGGGACCTCAGGACACAGATTGGGGGTAGGGGGCTCCCTCCTGGAGAAAAGCAAGACCCCCTAGCACTCTGAGTGTGGCAGCAGAAAAGGGGAGGGTCTGGGCTTGAAAAAACTGGTAAAATCACCAGCTGGCAACCCAAGCGTCCGTCAGCGGTGAACGGACACATAGCGTGTCCACCCACACACTGGACTATTACGTGGCCGTGAAGAGGAGCGAGGCCCTGACACAGCTGCACGTGGACGGACCTGCACACACAACGCTGAGAGAGAGAAGCAGACACAGAAGGACACACAGCGTGTGATCCCACGGACGTGAAACGTCCAGAACAGGGAGATCCACAGACAGAGAGAGGGCTCGTGGGGGCCAGGCGTTGGGGGGGTGACTGCTGATGGGGAGTGGACTTCTTTTTGGGGTGATGGAATGTTCTGGAACTATATTGTGGTGATGGTTGCAGAACCTTGTGAAGATACCCAAATCCACTGAATCGTACGCCTTAAATAAGTGAATCCTACGGTGTCAGTTCCATCTCAATAAAGCTGTCACCAAACAGAGACCAACTACAGTACACGGAATGTTCCTTTGGACTCCCGTTTAACTCAACTCTTTTCCCGTCCTTTAAAGACACACACACACAGAGCCCTACGTGCTGCTTCCTAGTTAGGCCACCTCAGCTGTGACCTGCCCCCTTGCCACCCCCGGAACTGGCTGACATGGTGGCCTGACGCCCACTGGCACTCGGGACCCAACCTCCCCGGCGGCCGCCCTAGGAACCGAGAGCCGTCTCCGGCGCCCCGAGCCTCCTGTCCCCCACGCCAAGCCATGGGTCGGGGCTGGATCCGACCAGCCACCCAGGGGATGTCCAAGTCAAGTCCCGTCTGGGGCTCCCCGAAAGGCAGCATGTGGGCGGGGGGAGGAGGGTGCTCGTGGGGCCACCCTTCCCGCTCTTCTGTCTGTCTGAACAGCTTTGCAGAAAATGTTGGAAAAACCCAGCAGCCGTGGGCTTGGCCGGGGAGCCGCCTTGTGGAGCCGCCAGCTGGCGCCGACAGGTGCAGCTGCCCGGCCGCAACAGCTTTGGGGCGCTGCTTCCAGCATTGTCCCCAGAAGCCTCAGGACCGGCCGAGGACGGCTAACCACAGTGGGCACGGCCCCGGGGTACGGGTGGGGCCGAGGGCCCGCGTGCCCGTGGCCACCACCGCTCTCACCAGAGTCTGGATGTGTGCATACCACTGATGGCGCGTCCGGGGGGCCTGGGCCGCGGCGAGGTGCTGGGGGGCTCGTCTTCCGCCCCGTCAACCACGGGCCGGCCGAAGATGGCCTCGAGCTCCTTGGCGTCGGGCGGCGGGATGGGGTACCTGCCGACGGACAGCTCCACCAGGGACAGGCCCATGCTCCAGATGTCCGACTGCACGGAGTAGTGCGTGCCCTGCAGGCGCTCGGGCTGTCGGGCGACACAGAGAACGGCGACGCCTGGAGGGCACGGCTGGTGGCTGGGACCCCGAGCGCACCAGGACCAGGGGGCGTCGGACTCCCTGATGCTCCCCCTGCAGCCCCGCCACCCCCGAGAGACCCCCAACGGAAAGGAAGCAGTGCCGCCTCCCTGGCCCGCCTTGGGATGGAGAAGCCACTAGCTGGCGCCCACAGCGGCCCCATAAAGACGCGCCATCTGCTGTCCTCCACAACAGCCCCCAGACTGGCTTCTCAGTCTGCTGTGAGGACCCTCGCACGTCTCCTGAGATACTCGAGGGCTCAGGGTTAACTGACGGCTGCCCCCATCCCCCGACTTGTGCTGCCAGTGGAGGGAACCGGCAGACCTTTCCAGAACAAGAACCCGAGTGAGGGGGGACAGTGACCAGGATCGCGATGGGAGGGAGAAATGCAGCGGGGACAGAGCACGTGCGCCGGGACACGCAGGCTCTTGGAAAATGGGGAAGAGCTGACGGGCTGAAGGCCCGGAGCGTGACGTCCAAACGGCCCTGGAAGGACTTACGGACATGTACGAGCGAGTCCCCACGAAGGAGTTGGCCATGGAGTCGATGAGCTGCCCGCTCACCCCGAAATCGCACAGCTTGATCTCCCCTCTGGAGTTGACCAGGATGTTGGACGGCTTCACGTCTGGAGCAGAGTTGGCGGGTGAGGGGTCGCTCGCAGCCCGCCCGCCGCCCTGCCCCGCCCCACCCGGGAAGGTGTCCGTCCGTCCGTCCGTCCGTCCATCCGTCCGTCCGTCTCACCTCGGTGCATGATCTGGTGCTTCTCCCGGAGATACGCCAGGCCCCGGAGCACCTGCGGGGAGCCACGGGGGCGGGTCAGCAGGGCAGCACGGGGGGGGGGGCCTCCTCTCCGGACAGGCCCACGGGCACGACCTGAGTGGCCCCCGCATCTGGGACAAGCTCAGGGACCTGCTTCCGGGGCGAGTGTGCAGAGCAGTGAAGCCACGGCCATGAGGTCCCGTGCTGGGGGCTCAGGCACCTGCCCCCCGCAGGCTCCTGTGAGCGCCCAGGGCTGCGGAGGCCGGGGGGCGGGCCGCACACTTACCGCGATGCTGACCTTCCCCAGAATCTCCTCGGGGATTCTCTTGGCTTCTTTCAACACCTGGTCCAGAGAGCCGCCGTCCTGGGGGTGGCACAGGAGAGAGCAGGCCGCTCTGAGCCATCGGCCAGCCGGGCCGCCACGGTGGCAGGACATGGGCACCCCCATCCCCGGGCGCTGCAGCTCCACCCCCTCCCCCCCAGGAGACGGCCGAGCGCAGGCCTCCTTTGGCGCCTCCGCCTCTGGGCCTCAGGGTGCGCCCCACAAGGGGGAGGAGAGGGGTGCCGGGCGCTCTGCAGGCGGCCCGGCCTTCCTGGGACCAGGGCCCGTGGTTGGTGGTGACTCAGCTTCGAGGTGGCCACGGCAGCAGCCGGCGGGGAGAGCCACGGAGGCAAGGGCCGCGTGGCTGCCAGGCCTGCAACCGGAGTGGTTGTGAGGACACCCAAGCCAGACCCGCCAGCATCTGCGGCCAGGGTCCCCTCCCAGCGGGCGCTGCAGCCCGAGTCGGGGTGGAGGGGAGTGACACCTGGAAGTGGTGCAGGAGAGGCCGAGCCCACTGCCCCTCCTCTCCACGACCTGGCCCCGCCAGGAAGGGGCTCCAGGATGAAGTGACAGCTCCGCCCTCTCCCTCAGCTTGTCACTGGCTCCACACTGCTGTGCACTGAGCGTCCGACAAAGGACCTGACATGGGTCACCCCAGTCGATCCCTCCACCCCGGGTGGGGCCCCAAATCCACTGATAATGAGGAGACGACAGAAATCAAGCATCTCGTGCAAGGTCGCCCGACAGCAAACCTGGAGACCAAAGCCCAGCGTGTCACCGGTTCCAGCCCAAGGTGCCTCTGAGGGGCGGGGCTCTGAGGACACGGCTGGGTCCTGACCACTGGCCAGAGCCTGCCGTGCTCGCCCTGCACGCCCCCGAGGGGACAATGGCCAGGCACGCAGGGGATGAAGTTGGGGCCAGAACCTGAAGTCACGGATGGGCAGCCCAGAGCCGGGTTCCCTCCGCTGTGCGACTCTAGGCCTGGTCTCCTGTCCTGGCACCCGCCCTACCCGTGCTCGGGAGAAAGGCCGAGTGGAGTTCTAGAAAACTCAACTCAGTCTGAACTTTCGCATGACTCTCGACCAGCTCCACGCTGCGGGCGCAGAGGGTGGGTGTGGCCGAGGCACCCATGGCCGGCGCTCTGGTGAGCCTGGTCTGGCCAGGGTGCCCGCCCGGGCCCGCTCTGCCCACAGGGCCAGACAGGAATGCCTTTTCGTTTTCTGTTTTATCAATCAACCTTAAAAGAATTTAAGTTAAAAAAAAAAACCTGCTTTTTAATTGTGATCCCTGCTCCCCAACGCAGCCCCTTTCATTCTTGACTTCTCACGGGGCTGGGTACATGTGTGCCGAGTGAGAATGTTCTGGAGAACACCTGAGAGAGGCCACGGCGGCCCGCAGCACGGGGACAGGACCACGCTCTCACGGCAGGGTGCCCCCACCTGGCATGGCGACGGGGGCCCAGTCATCTCTGAGGGGCTGTCTGGGGTTGGGCAGCATCCCTGGCCCCACCCACCTCATGTCAGGAGCCCCCCCAGTGTGACACCCACCAATGTCCCCAGACATGGCCAGTGTCCCCCGGGGGCAGGACCACCCGCAGGTGAGACCCTGGTCCACAGCCAGGAGAGTGAAGTGAGCCACTCGCTCGGGTCACGTGGACAGGATGTGGCGCAGGAGACAGCGCACGTAGGTCTCTCTGACCCCGAACCTCACTCTTCAAGCGTGACTAGACACTTTCATTTCGTGTGCGCTTCTGTGTTCCTGAAGCCATACTTTGTAAAGCAGGTGGTGGGTGAGCACGTTTTTCTTATCGAACTTCAAATGCAGGTAAACAGCACTCTGACGCCCCGGGAGTCCACTCGCCTCCCTGAAGTGTGACTTATATTCTTCCAGACGCTTCTGTGCATTGGCTCACCCATGCGCAGAGGGAACACAGCGCTTGAGTCACACACACAGGCGGGCTCGCGCCCGCCTCTCCCTCCCGGGTCCCCTCGTCCGCCCACACGCTGACTTCGCTTCTCCTCCGCAAGGTGGCCTGGTGTCACCCCCACTGCACATGTCGTGTTGTTCGCTGTCACAGGACAACGGGGTGCACAGGTCAGCGGCTGGGTCCCAGCCACCCGGCCCGAAGACGCCCACCGTCCGCTGCGGCCATGCCCGGGGCGCTCCCGGGAGCGGGTTTGGGCCTCCGGGGCCGCGCCAGCCCTGCAGTTTCTGGGTCCCGGGCGCCAGTCCTGCTGCGGGCGGGGGAACCTCCCGTGCTGACTGGGGCTGCCCGTCACCAACGACGTCTTGTCTCCGACGCTGGAGCTGGAATCTCCCAACTGGAAACAGGAGCCGACTTGCACGGGAACCCACGGACGAGGCCTGGTCCTCACCAGGGAGGCCGACCAGGCGTGTCATGATGGCGACGGGAAGGGAAGCGAAGCTCACGCGACACACGGGGAAACGGCGGAGCGACGGCGGGTCCTCACCCGGTGTTCGGCATGCCCGGGCCCGGGAGGCAGGCCTCTGATCCCAAGCTGAGGCCCGACTCCAGGGCGCCATTGCCACCGCCCTGGGCCCCCAGGGCATACGAAGCAGCGCGTGAAGGAGGCAGAGACACCCTCAAACACAGGAGCCCCCCATGCCCGAGGGCCGCCTCCCGCTCCGTCGATTTACTGTCACTTTGTTCTCCGCGTGCCTTCCTCACCCAGGGTGCCCCCTCCTGGAGGCGCACCCCAAACCTGCACATCGTGCCTCCAAGGCTGTGCACGGGAACCCGGCCCCTCCCGACGGCGTCTCCTCGCCCGCGTGTCGCAGCCGCGCTGACCCTCCTCGCACGCGCCTCACCAAACCGACCCAACCAGGAAGCCCCGAAGGGCCAGCACAAGAAACAGGAGGGATCACCAGCGCCTCCCCGGCTCCCGGTGGTCCCTCTGGGGGCTGCGGGGGCGGACGCCTCCTGTCGAAACCGAGGCTCCACCATCACCGAGAATGGAAGGGGAGGTGTGGGGATGGCCCCCATTTTTGGCAAGAGAACTACTACGATGTTCAATGTTCGGGGGGGAACAGGTGGGGGGGCCTGAGAATGCTGGAGGGGAGGGAGAGAAAAGGAGGCAGGGTGAAGAGGGAAGAGGATGGGAGGAAGGATGAAGGGGTGGGGGGAGGAAGAGGTGGGAAAGGAGGAGGGGGAGAGGAAAGAGGAGGGGAGGGGAGAGGGAGGAGGGGGGGAGAGGGAGGAGGGGGGAGGAGGGGGAGGGGGGAGGGGCAGCTACAGCACAGAGGTGGCTCCCTCAGACTACCAAGTGACTTCGTGCCCTTTTGTGCCCCTTGATGCCCCGTCTGCACGGTGCCTCTGCCAAGTGGGTGGGCAGACATGGTCTCCCTCCCCCAGGTGAGGAGGGGGCTCCAGGCGGGGAGCACCCCCTTGGCACTCCCTCTGAAGCTGTTTCGCCACCTGCCCGCCCGCTCACAATGCCTCCTCGAGGCCGCCCGGCGCTTGCTCAAATGCGCTTCCTGCCTTCGTTACAAAACCGTCGGAGGGGACGGCGCGTTGGGAAGGCGTAACCGAAGGCGCGCGGCCTCCAGCCCCGCCGCATCCTGGTTTTGCAAGGGCCCCGGTGGGCCTGAGCCGGACACTGGGCGGCAGGCAGCGTCATCCGTGACCGGCGCACTTGGCAGAGGGTCGGCAGCGTTTCCTCCCCCGGCCCTCAGCTCTGACCACTTCTGCTTTCAGACACCCCATCCCACCCATTTCTGAGCTTCAAGACCAGCATTTCCTAACAAGGAGACACATCAGAAGCAACCGTGGCGGTTTAAAAAAAGACGGGTGCCACCCTCCACCCCGGGGCCTGATTCCACAGCTCTGAGCCGCTGCGTGCCGGGCCCGGCTTGCAAGAGGCTCCCCGGACCGCCACTTTCTCCTGGGCAAACGCTTAACCACGTGGACCTGGCCCAGCCATCACACTGGAGGACTCGTCCATGACCATCCGCGTCTGGGCAGAAGGTAGGGCAAAAGCCAGAGCCGGCTCTCTACACGCCGACAGGGAAGGAGTTCCGGCACGCGTCAGGTGGAAAGGCAAGGTGGGAAGACGGTGTTGGTGTTTAAGAAACAGAGGCGCCACGTGCACACATGCTGATGTGGGCACCGACCGCCCCCAAAAGACCCCCTTGGAGGTGGCTGTGCTGGGGCCTCCGAGGATGGCCTGGAGGGACACAGGCAGGGCGGGCTCCTCTCGCCGGGCACCCTCGGCCCTGTCCCGCCCGCCTGTGCTCACCATGTGCTCCATGCAGATGCTGATCTCGCCGTCGCTGTAGAAGGCCCCGTAGAAGCCGACGATGTAGGGCGAGTTGCACTCGTGAAGTACCTGCAGCTCGCGGATGATCTGGTTCCGGATGGCCGGCTTGATCTCCAGGTGGATCAGCTGCAAAGGAAGGCGAAGCGGGTCAAGACCAGCCGGCAGAGGGGCGCTGGCGGAGGGGGGCCCGGGGCGTCTGCCCGGAGGTGCTGTGACAGCGAAGGCCAGCCTACAGTGCGCTCCAGGTGCGCATCCACCTAAGAACCGAAAACACACGGCCACGCACCAGCTTGCACACGTGTGTTCACGGCAACACGACTCACACCAGCCAAAAGGTGGAGGCAACCAAGTGTCCTCAGTGGCAAATGGACACACACAGCGGGGTCCAGCCACACGCTGGAATATTACATGGCCATGAAGAGGAGCAAGGCCCTGACATGGCTGCACGTGGACGGACCTGCACACACGACGCTCACGGAGAGAAGCAGACACAGAAGGACACACGGCGTGTGACCCCATGGACGGGAAACGTCCAGAACAGGCCGATCCACAGACAGAGCACAGGCTCGTGGGGGCCAGGGGCTGGGGAGGGGCTGAGGGTGATGCTGATGGGGACGGGGCTTCTATTTGGGGCGACAGAATGTTCTAAAATTGATGGTGGCAACGGCCGCACAGCGCTGTGACCACACTACAACCAGTGAACGCTATACTCTCAAAGGATAAATTGTACGGTACGTGAATTACATCTCAATAAACCTGTTAAAAAAAAATCGCTGGAGCAAACATGTCTCACCCAGCTCCAGGCGGCTCTGTGAAGAGCAGCTTTCTTCCCACCCAATCACAGAAAGATCCAGCCTCTCCCAGGAGCCGGTGCGATGCCCCCCAAGGGGCGAGTGCTTCCCCTGCGCCCTCTCGGGCAGGGTGGGTTTCCCCGCAGCCCCTCCCGCCCCCAGGCCAGAGACAAGGCAGAGCGGCTCTGGTCGCCATCGCCATCGTGGGGGCCCAGCTCCCCTTCCGTGAGTTCAAGTCGGCAGAGGGGACGTCACCAAACTCCCCACGGCGTTTCGAAAGCTGAGAAAGCAAAGGATGGTCTGGAGAGAGGCAGAAAAGACAGCCGACGAGATGCCAGGAGCGACGCCCGACTGCAGACCCCCAGCGAGCCAAGAAAGAGCTGGGGCCATCGGGCCACAGCCCGGCCACTTGGAATCCTGGACACCCCGGCCATCGCGATACGACAAGAACAGGGTGACTTCCGCCCCTTGTCAGAGACACAGAGCCAGACCACAGGCATCTAAAAACGATGCCATCAATTCAACAGACTTTTGCATAGACTTGACCGCACATGGGGCCGGTGACAGGAGAAAGAGACGACAAAGACGCCCCGCTCGGAGGAGACGCCACCCGGGCAAGAGAGGCCGGTGGAGCTGTCTCGGTACAGTGGAGGTGCCCCCGGCAGAGGAACCCCAGGAAGCTGATGGGGGCTCAGGTGACACGGGGGCCGGCCTCGGAGGACGGGCAGGAGCCAGCCAAATGGACCAAGGGCCGCCTGTTCGAAGGCACCAAGGCATGAAGGGGGGAGTGCCGGGGTCGAGGGGCACAGGGCACGTGTGGGGCGTGCCAGCTGCTCACAGCCCCAGCCGATGACCCTCACGACCTTGAGAACTGCGGAAGGTTCCAGCAGCAAGTTCTCCAGGCAAAGCTCCAGGCCTCTAGCTGAAGGTTCTCCACCCAGGTCAGCTGCAGACGCCAGGACACGGCACTCCTTTAGGACAGCGGGGTCACCCCAGACGCCAGGATGCTCTTCCCACCCGCGGGACTGCATCCATGGGGTGACACCCAAAATGCACACACAGATCCGCTTTGAAGGGGCGAGAAGCTGGGCGTGAAGGTGAAGCCGTGCGGAGGGCGGGAGGTCCGCTCAGAAAGCCGAGAAAGGACGGGTGTGGCGAGGCTGACGAAGGGCAGAGAGGGGGACAGAGGCCAACGCTGGCCAACGGAAACGCAACACGGGCCGTGCACTGAATTTTAAATCCTCTAGCCGCCGAGTTAATAGAGTCAAAAGAAATAGGTGAAACGGATTTTTCACATATTTTATCAAAAAATTGCCATTCCGACGTGATCCACGTAAAAATGTTAATGAGGTTTTTTCCACGTGGAGCCCTTGAAACCTGGAGCTTTCCCACGTGGACGGTGGCCTCGGTTGGGAGCCACCGCGTTTCAGAGGCTCCTGTCGTGGACGGCGCAGCGCCCGAGCAAGAACCTCAAGGGAGCCACAGAGGAACGAGGAGCGGAGGAGCGAGACCCCGCTTGGCTCTAGAGAAGCAGAGGAGGGTGGGCAGAGCTGGGGGGAAAGATGGCAGCTGGTGCTATTATGTGGCTTTGGGCAGGTCACAGAACCTCCTTTCTTTTTTTTTTTGGAGGAAGACTAGCTCTGAGCTAACTGCTGCCAATCCTCCTCTTTTTGCTGAGGAAGACTGGCCCTGAGCTCACATCCGTGTCCACCTTCCTCTGCTTTGTATGCGGGACGCCTATGACCGCATGGCATGCCAAGCGGTGCCAGGTCTGCACCCGGGATCCGAACCGGCGAACCCCGGGCCGCCGAAGCGGAACACGCGCGCTTAACCGCTGTGCCGCCGGGCGGCCCCAGAATGTCCTTTCTGGAAGCAAGCAGGCGCAGCTGAACGCAAGGCGGAGAAACGATCCCTTGCCATGGGGACAGGGAAGGCGAGGGAGGGGAGCCCCGTCAGTGTAACCAACAGGCTGAACTCTTCGCGGATTTCCCCCGGCCCTGGCAAGGCCAAGTTCGGTTCCTGGGCCCCTCAGAGGGATGCAGGAGGAGCCAGAGCACTAGGCCTGAGTCGAGAAAGCGTCTCTGAACAAGCACGAGTGTCTAAGTCAAGACCGGTTTCCTCAGCTCCTAGGTAGCTGGGCTCGTCACCTTCCTGGTGTGTCACTCTGGCTAGGACAATCCTCTGCCAATCCAAGGGGCCGGAGGGATGCTGGCACCAAAGGACGCTGGCCGCACCGCGGGATCCCCATGGCCTTCCAGAAGCGCCCAGCCCAGTCCAGCCCGGATGGTGGGGGAAGGACTGAGGCCACTGACTCCTGGACCAGTTTGTTACTTCAAAACTGAGTCTGCCCTCAGCTTTATCCGGCAGACCAGGCTCCCGGGTGAACCGGCATTCCAGAGGGACCGCAAGGAGCCCGTGACCCCCCAGGCTGGCCGAGGGCCCCGGGCCCCCGGGGAGTGACAGTCCCGAGCCACACGACGGCCAGGGAGCCGGCCTTGTCCTTCAGTGCGTTCACCAAATGGACATGGGCGCCTGGTTTCAACACTGTGGCAACCACAGGAGGTGACGATCAACAGGGAACAAAATCTGAGGTCCTCCGCCCTGCGTTCTTTTGCACCTGTTATTTTTAACTCCTCATTTTGAAAGAATTATTGAAGCACGGGAAGTTGTAAAAACAACAGAGAGGGTCCCCGTGTACCCTTCACCCAGCGTCCCCCGATGGTGACATCTATGACAGAAGGACAGTACCAAACCAGGAAACTGACTGGGGACGGCGTGGCCCACTGGATGGCGGGACTCATCTGGCCTCTCTGGTTTTTTCTTTTGAGGAAGATTAGCCCTGAGCTAACATCTGCTACCAATCCTCCTCTTTTTTGCTGAGGAAGACTGGCCCTGAGCTCACATCCGTGCCCATCTTCCTCTACTTTATATGTGGGACGCCTGCCACAGCATGGCTTGCCAAGCGGTGCCATGTCCGCACCCAGGATCTGAACCGGCGAACCCCGGGCCGCCGAAGCAAACGCATGCACTTAGTCGCTGCGCCACCGGGCCGGCCCCTGGCCTCTGCAGTTTTAAACTCCTCACTGCGGCTTCCCAGGGTGTCACAAAGCCGTGGGTGAACTCCAGGCGGCTCTGGTTGGGCAGAGGCTGCCTGGGGGGAGATTTTGGGGGTGGGCGGCGCTCCAGCAGCAGGAGACACAGCAGCAGGCAGTGCTGGATCCCGACAGAAACCAAGCCTGTGCTCAGGAGCCAAAGGCGGGCCCCGCCCGGGCACGGGGTGGGCAGGTGTCCAAGAACACAATTTGGGAACTAGAGGGGGGATGGGCTTCTAGAAAGAGGCGGCTTTTGATGTCTCAAAGAACACGCCTGCATGTGCAAAACAACCTGTCCACACGAAGGCCCCCGTCAGCGTGTTTAGGAGCCACTGTCCCCAAATGGTCGCATCCTTCCCTTCTAACCCCCTGCGTCTCCCAGGGACGGTTCCCGCACGCTGAGCGCGAGGCTGCCTTGTGGCGGGGGAGCCCAGAAGAGAGAGGCTCAGCGCCAGGGGCTGCTCCAAGGGTGGGGTGATGGTGATTTCCTGCGCCCACTTGGCTAGGCCACGGCGCCCAAGGGCTGGGTCCCATACCCGTCTAGAGGTCACTATGAAGGTATTTTTCAGATGTGATTTAATATGGGAATCATCAGACTTTGAGAAAAGGAGGTGACCCTCCGTGAGTGGGTGGGCCTCGACTAATCAGGTGACGGCCTCAAGAGAAAAGACGGCAGCGCCCTGAACGAAGAGGGAATTCTGCCTCCTGACTGGCTTGGACTCAACCTGCAACCTCAGCTCTTCCCTGGCCTCCGGCCCCCAGCCCGCCCTGCAGACTTTCACCCTCGCGATTGTGTGAGCTGATTCCTTAAAATCTCCCTCTCTCTTCACACGCACACACGCCCCAGTGGTTCTGTCTTCCTGGAGAACTCTGACTAGTACACGTAGTTTGGTTGCCCCATCGCCAAGGGACCGCCCCCCCCCCGACGTGACCATGGCGGCAGAGCCCGTCTCGGGCCCGCGGAGCTTACCCCGGTTGTGGAGTCAGTGTGATGCCCGTGCTATGGGGACCCGATCTGCCTCCTTTCTTCCAGAAAACTCCACCCGCCGCCTTTCTTGAGCCAGTCCACGAGCAGGACGTTTCTGGGAATGTGGCCCTCCCCCACCACCACGGACCCCTCGCAGGGGACAGATGCCCGCCCGCCCACCCGCCGCCGCTCACCTTCCTGGCCATGATGAGGCCCGAAGGCCTGTGCTGGACTTTGGTGACCACCCCGCCGTTGCCGGCTCCCAGCTCGGAGAGCCTCTCAAAGTCATCGTCCTTGAGCTCCCCGACCTTGGCCTTCTGGGTGAGGAAGGCTTCCAGCCGCTTCTTCTGCTGCTCGTCGAGCTCGAGCTCCTCGAGCTTCTTCTGCAGGTCCACCAGGTTCGCTCTGCAGAGACCCAAGGGCAAAGGGTGAGCGGCGGGGCCGCGAGCCGCGGAGACGACCCAATGGCAGCCCGGGGCGCCGGGTGGCTGCTGTGTGCCAGCCCCGGGCTGGCGGCGGGCAGGACGCAGGGAGCGATCGGACCTGACTCCGCGCTCCAGGGGCCCGCGACCCAGCAGGAGAGCGAGACCACCCACAGACGCATGGCTGACCCAAAGCCAAGGCCGCCCCCTCCCTGCACACAAAGGTCAGGAGGGACCTTGCACCCAGAGGACCAGCTCTGCTCTCAGACCCAGGATCCTTCCCGAGACAAGGGCTCCAGACCCCGTCGGGAGGAGACGAGGGAACTGGGGAGACAAGACGGGGGGTCGGGCGAGGGAAGGCCCAGGCCAGGAAGCAGGAGCAGACTTGTTCTGAGTGGCTTCAGGGCACAGAACGAGAACCGATGGGCAGACGACGGAGGTGGCAGCATCAGTGACTTCAATTTACAGGGACAGCACACAGGCACCGGAGGGGGAGAAGGAGAGGCGCGGAATTTCAACACTGCAGACAATTCCAGAGCATTCCCGGCCAGGTGCACGCTCCCATATCCGGGGCATCACGGCACGTTCGACATTCATCCGCACGCACATTCCTGCACGCGGCATTTAAAGACCAACCACGTATATAGCACTTTATTGGGTGATTCCAGGAATCTTCAAAGGAAATTTTGACAATAAGCCATTTTCACTAATGCCTTGACTTTGAACCACATCCTGGAGCAGGGAGCAGCTCCCTGGGGTAGGCAGGCCGACCCCAGCTCAGTGCACACGAGAACTAACCCAGCGTAAGCCACGTGTGCAATTCAGAATCTCTCAGCCGCGTCAAAAACACACATATCAGGTGAAACTAATTTTAATGTATTTGATCTAACCCATCGAAAATATAATTTGCAACAGGTAATCGATATAAACAAATTAATGAATACCCATTTTTACCTGTTTTCATTTTAGGTCTTTGAAACCCGGGCCGCATCTTATACGACCAGCAGCTCCCCAGAATTTGGACAAGACACACTTCAAGTGCTGGCTGCGGACGGGGGGGGGGCTGGTGGAGCAGACAGCGTGTGCAGCTAAGGAGAGTGTCTGAGGGAGAATGGGCGCCCTCGGGTGGTCCTCAGCCACCAACTCCTGAGGGGGTTTAGGGTGAGGGACTCAAGCAGGGGATGAAGCCGGGAGCTGGGGGTTCTCTCGGGGACCTTCGAATGCCCAAGTTCAGCCACAACTCACCTCCAACTTAAAGAGGTGACAGCAAAGGGCGCACAGGCGGGGGGGGGGGGGGGGGGCCGGCGAGATGACGGTCACCGGGCGATGCCAGTGAGCTAGTATTGCAAAGAGGTGGCTGGAAGGCAGGGAGCTGGTGCCACTCCCAGAGCTTTGCAAACACCACCATCTCGTTGAAGTCTCTCGACCGTCCCGGGGGGTGGGCGCTTGTACCCCAGCCCACGCAGGAGGGAACAGCTCAGAGTGGCTGAGTAACTTGCCGGAGGGTCACAATGCACGCCTGGACTCCAACCTGGGTCCTTGTCGACTGCAAAGCCTGTGCTCAGTGAATGCCTGGTAAACAAAGACCCAACAAAGAAGAAAGGAGGAGGACCCTGACGGACGCCAGAGGGAAAGCAGAAGAATGAACGGATGGGCCCAGGGTCCTGCCCCGTGGGCCTGACGAGGTGGCCTTTGAGGCCAGACTCTGCAAGGTCTGCAGCCCTGCCCTGATGACATCTAAGATGCAACCTGGGGTCAGCTGATTAATCCATTTCAAATTTAATGGCAACTCAACTGTGGTTATAAAAAAAAAACCCTGGAATTCCAACGGCTGGCTTCCTCTGCTGGGGGAATTCTGGAAGGGATGGAAATCAGAAACCACATCAAAGACAGAGCAGAGCAGATGAGGAAAGAACTCTCCCGTAGGAGGGTGAGCAGTGGATTTGTGGAAAGGAGAAAACGTCCCTGCGTGGAGCTGTGCGCGCGGAGACGGAGAAAGATGCCAGCTCGCGCACACACCGCCAAGATCCTCATCCTTCATCCGGGCTAAGGCCACACTGCCAGACAGGACCATTCGCCGGTCACACCTGGTTCTCGCGAGGTCACAGCACAAGCACAGCCAGCGACCCCGGCCAGGGGCCTCTGGGACCGGCTCGCTCTGGTCAACATGGAGAACAGAGCGGGGCGGTCACAGGGACTTCTGGGGCCGCGGCGTCACCCTGGAGAGACCTCACACAGTGCGATGCCACCATCCCACAGCCCACCACCCCGTGGTCCTTTCTCCGACCCCTCCCCCAAGTCCGGAACCGCCTGCACCTCCCCAGCCGCCCCAGAGGCTCTGCTAATCCGTTCGAGTCAGAGTCCGTGCTTATCTGCTCTCAGGGGTCCCAGCAGGTCCCCCACTCCCACATCTCCCCACCCCCCCCCCTCCAAACCCGCCTCACTCCCGGCTTCCCCAGCCTCCTCATCTCTCTCTCCTCTTCCGGGGGGGGGGCCCTCCCCCACTAGCAGGATCTTCTCCTTGTCCTTTCACTCCCTCAGGTTCCCCCCATTAACCCCTTCAGGGATCCCTCTGATCCCACCCCTTCCCCTTTTCCTCGTCTTCTACAGACCTCCTCGTCCCATCCTCACTCCCGGGGCCCCTCCTCGTCCCATCCTCACGCCCAGGCACCCTCCTCGCCCCATCCTCACGCCCAGGCACCCTCCTCGCCCCATCCTCACTCTCAGGGACCCCCCTCACCCTGTCCTCTCCCCACAGGGGTTCCCCTGCTCCAAGACCTCTCAACCTGTCCGCACCACTCAGATACACTCCTCCCCATCAGGATCCTGCACTCTGACCTCACTACTCAGGGACGCCCCCCCTTACTCCGATTCCACTGCCTGGGACCCCCCACCCATCCTCTCCCATCAGGAATTCCCCCCATCACCCTGGATTCACGACTCAGGGACCCTCCTAGCTCTGATCTCTCTACTTAGGGGTCCCACACCCCATCTTTTCCCCGCAGGGAACCCCCCTTGCCCTGATTCACTACTCAGAGGCCCCTTAGCCGGTCCTCTCCCCACAAGAACCCGCCCTCAACCTGATTCCACCACTCGGGGACCCCCTCCCCTCATCCTCGCCACTCAGGGACCCCTCTGTCCATCTTCTGCCGAGGACCCCCCTCCCTTCCTCTTTGGGCCCCCTCCCCCTGACCTCACTAGTCAGGGACCACCCACTGCATCCTTTCCACTCGGCGATCCTCTCCCCCTCCACTGCTATGGGCTCCCTCTTCCTGTCTTCTACTCGAAGGACCTCCTACCTGTCCTTTCCTCTCAGGGACCCTCCCACCACCTCCTCACTCCGGGACCTCCCCTCCCCTTGTCCTTTCCTCTCGGGGGACCCCCTCCCCTTCCCTCTCCACTCAGGGCCCCCTCTCCCAGTACCCTCCCTTGGGGGGCCGGCCCCTCCCTCTGAGATCCCCCGTCTCCGGGTTCCCAATCCCCTGCCCAGGACCCCCTCCCCGTTCCCATCGCCTTCCCGTCTCCTCCCTGGGCCCCTCGTCCTCATCCCCATCCCATTCCCTCCTCGGGACCCTCGTCCTCATTCCTTCCCCGGGACCCCGTCCCCATCCCCTCCCCGTCCTATGTCCGGGACCCCCGTCCCCATCCCCTTCCAAGCCCCTCCCCGGGGACCCCCCGTCCCGTGCCCGCCCCGGCCGCGCGACCCGCCGGCACTCACTCGGAGGCGCCCTCGCTGGTGGGGGACGGGCCCTCGGCGATGGCGGGGTTGATGGTGAGCGCCGGCAGCACCGGCTTCCTCCGGGCCAGCATCGGGGCTCCGCGGCCGGCGGGGCGCCTCAGCCGGGGCCCATAGGGGGCGGGCCGGGAGCGGGCGGCGCCGACGCGAGCCCGGGGCTGCGGCCGCGGCCTAGGCGGCGCCGGGCGGGGAGCGCGGGCGGGCGGGGTCGGGCGGCCGGGGCGCCGGGCTGAGGCCGAGGAGACGCCGCCGCCGGGGCCGAGCGAGGCTGACGCTGCAGCCGGAGCCAGGGAGGCCGAGGGAGGGGCGGGGCGCGGCGAGATCGCGGGCCGGCCTCTCGCGAGAGCCAGTGCCGGCCGCCGCGCCGGGCCCCGCCCCCTCCGCCGCAGCGCATGCGTAGCAGCCGGAGGCCGCCTCCTGCAGGCGGTGCCCGGAGCGTGCGCGCTCGCTCGCCTCCTTCCGCACGCGTGCGCATGCGCCCGGGGCTCCGGGCGAGGGAGCGGAGGAGGCAGGGCCGGAGGGAGGCGGCGGCCGGGATGCTGAGCGTGGGCGGGTGGGCAGGGCAGAGGTCAGACCCTCAGAGCCTTGTGGGTTCCAGACCGAGAGGACGCGAGCCAGTAAAATGCCCCGAAGCTGTGACAGATCGACCCAGGGTCAACTTAAAATCTTTTTGCCAATTATGGGCACAACACCCTCACCGGCCCCCCAGCTCATAATATCAATTTCCTCCCTTCTTTCATGAAAAATGAAAACGTTTTTTGGTGTGGTAAATATACGTAAGATGATATTTACTATTTTAGCCATTTTTAAGCGCACAGCTCAGCGGCATGAGGCCCGGTCACGTGGTTGTGCCACTATCCCCACCATCCGTCTCCAGAACTTTCCTTCTCCCCAAACTGCAGCTCTGTCCCCATGAAACACTGACTCCCACCCCTCCCCCAGCCCCTGGCCCCCCATCCTTTCTGTCTCTGTGGATGTGGCTCCTCTGGGGACCTCCTGTGAGTGGATCACACAGTGTGTGTCCTTCTGTGTCTGGCTCACGTCCCTGAGCATCACGTCCTCCAGGTCCGTCCACGTGGGAGCAGGAGTCAGGATCTCCTTCCTTTCTGAGGTTGAATAATATCCCATTATGTGGATGGACCATATTTTGTTTATCCATTCATTCACTGATGGACATTTGGGTTGTTTCCGCCTTTTGACTGTTGTGAATTATGCTGCTGAGAACCTGGGTGTACAAATATCTGTTGCAAGTCCTGCTTTCAATTCTTTGGGATAGCTACCCCGAAGAGGAATTGTTGGATCCTATGGTAACTCTATGTTTAATTTTTTGAGGAACCGCCAAACCGTTTCGACAGCGGCTACACCGCTTTATGAGAAAGGTCATTTTAACACCAATAAAAAGAAAAAAACAAAAAGGAGGAAGTAGGTGGCATAGGGTAAAGGACAGTCATTTCAACGGGAGAAAGTTGACTTCATGAAAAACTCCCCCGTCGCTTTTCTTTTTGTTGCATCTCTGAGCACGTGTGTACATTTCACGGTGGGGCGCCCCTTTGGAAACCACGTGGGAATAAACACAGAGGGGAGGTCAGCACTCTCTTCCAGGGGCCAGCCGGGTCCCCTCGTCTCCCTGGCTCAGTCCTGCCCACATCCTGTCCAGCTGCCCCTCAATCGTTCTTGTAACAATTAATTTGCAATGCTATTTCTGTGAATGACACTGCGCTGGGGTCCAGAGATACAATGTTTAAAAATAAATACATAATATACGTATACATAATTGCAAAATGTGAGTGCTCTAAAAATGCAAAGGTGTAACCACCGCTCTCCTCTGATTGAAACTGCTCCCAGACGGGCCGCCCCTCCGCTTCCACGGCTGAGCCTTTTCAGTTTTGCCTCTCATTGCTCCCACCCACTCACCCCAAATTCGGGGGAATGCATTATCTGGCTTCAGATCATGCCATGACCTTTCCCAGCTCTGGGTGTTTCCTCTTTCTTTCCGTTCTGCAAAGTGATCTCTTCATCATTTAATTTTATTTTAGGCTATATCTATACACACAGTCTTTTTTATTGAGCTGTACGTTACGTGTCATAAATACACAGGTCTCCTGTGTTAAGGCCTTGAGCTTTTACGGTTGTATATACACACGCAGCCCTTCCCAGGAACAAGGTGTAGACCATTTCTGTCACTCCAGAGAGTTTCCTTAGTGCCCTATTCGGTTAAGCCCTGTCACCCCAATCAGCCAGCAGTGGCATCCTGGTAAATATTTAACAGCGGGCTTTTGAAATAAGGAAGGGAGGGGGCACGGGGAAGCTGACTTATAATGTGCAGCATTTGCCCATTTCTGTGGTGTCAATATTCTCACCATGGCTGATTTTCAGTTCCCACGAAGCTGGAAATGCGAACAGTAGGCACCCATGGACCGAGGCAAGCTGGCTGCAGCCCACCACTAGCCAGAGACACCCTAGATTCTGATTTCCATCCCCACAGATTCATTTTGCATGTTCGAGCGCTTCACAGAAATGGAATTGTACGCTACGTACTCTGTTTGTGTCTGACTTCTCTCGCTCAGCACACGTTTCTGCAATTCACACGTGGGTGGCGTCGCATGTAACAGGCATTTATCCTTTTTCCGTGCTGTATGATATTCCGTGGTGCATATTTTGTAGATTACCTCCTCAAGGAGGGTAAAGAGATCAAGTCTTTTCTGATGATCGGCATGTTCAGTTCTCCTCGGTTCTTATGTGGGGGCGCCGCTCACATGCCACATTTTCTGCAAAGTCTGATTCTCCCATCTTCTGCCAGCTTCCTACTTGTTGCGATTCCCAACGCACCCCGTTGATTTCTGGTTGGCCGCTCTTGCTGCCTTCTGATTCATGTCACGGCTGTTTCACGATGCCTCCCCCACTAGTTCTAAATATTTGCAAGGCGAGGAAGATGTTGAATTTGTCTCCTTCTCTCCCAGATCAGCTCCTGGGGTCTAGCTGATATTTCTTCCTTATAGGCTCCTTGAATGAATGAAAGGAGGGTTCCTGTCCTCAGAGATGTAAATTTCCTGCTAGTCACCTGATTCTTCACGCTTGTCATGGAACATGAGCTTTTATTATCGAGGTCACAGTACAGGCTCCGTCCTCCACTCCTTCTCTGTCTTGACTGGTGAGCACCTTTGGCCCTGCGGCCTCTCCCTGCTACATAGCTCCCTGCTGATTGTTGGTTCCAATCCCCGCTTTCTTCGCACGTCTGTTCTCTGATCCAGATACTTTGGTGTCTCCTTAACCACTTCCCTTCCACCGAGAAATAAATCTCTAATAGCTTTGTTGAGAGATTCAATCTGAGGTGACGTTTGTCTTGCATTGGCACAACCCACTATGAATGTCACATGTGCGCTCTGCTCCTATCTCCCATTGCACCCTGAAATTTCTCTCTCCCACCTGTGCAATGGGTTAACTGAAGGAGCCGCGGACCTTTCCCCCTGGGAAAGCAATTGGGCACTGTCTTGAGTATCCTACTACCTAGGAATTCAACACCTGGGCGTACAACCTGGGAAACTCTTGCTGTTGTATAACTAGGAGGCACAGACACTGATATTCCCAATGGCGAAAATCTGGAAACTACACAAATACCCACGGATGATAGAATGGAAAACCATATTCTAGTATCCACAAGGACGTACCAGGCAGCAGAAAACACACAAATGACAACAATGTAAAAAAGCCTTAGAAACATAAAATTACAGAAGGCTTTCTATGACACCATTTTTATAAAATGAAAATGGTGCAGCATCATTAGTCGTTGGGGAAATGCAAATTAAAACCACAGTGAGATACTCCCATATGCCTGTTACAGTGGCTAAAATTTAAAAGGCTGACAATACCAAGTGTTGACGAAGATGCAGGGCAACTGGGACTATCATATGTTGCTGGTGGGAATGCCAGGTGGAAAATAGTTGGCACTTTCTTACAAAGTTAAATGTACACTTACCGTACGACCCAGCTGTCCACTCCTGGGTGTTTACCCAAGAGAAATGAACTCTTATGTTCACCCCAAAACCTGAACACAAATGTTCATAAAACCTTTATCTGTCGTAGACCCAAAGCTGGATACAACCCAAATGTCTTTCACTGGGGGAATTGATAAATGAGTTTTGGGTTGAATGAATAAGAACAATTATGGGGCCAGCCCTGTGGCTTAGTGGTTAAGTTCAGCACAGTCCACTTTGGCGGCCCAGGTTTGGTTCCCAGGCACAGACCCAAACCACTCATTGGCGGCCATGCTGTGGTGGCAACCCACATACAACACAGAGGAAGATTGGCACAGAGGTCAGCTTGGGCAAATCTTCCTCAGCGGAAAAAAAAAAAAAAAAAAGGTGGACTAATTCCACACAGTGGAATACTACTCAGTAATAAAAAAGGACAAATTGGATACACACATCATCTTGGGTAAACCTCAAATGCATTGTGTTGGCTGAAACAAGAAGTCTCAAAAAGTTACATAGTTCATGGTTCCTTCATACGACATCTTTTTAATGACAAAATTGTAGTAAAGGAGAACAGATCAGAGATTGCCAGGGGTCAGGATTTGGGGAAGATTGTGACTATGAGGGATTTTCCTTGTGGTGATGGCAATGGTCTGTATTCTGATTATGGTGATGATTACACAAATCTAAACATGTGACAAGTTTTGACAGAGCTATCCATGTACCAAAAGAATGAGCACATATAAGAGCTGGTGAAACCAGAATAATGTCTATGGTGCCAGTGTGAATTCCCTGTTTTGGTGGTGTTCTATGGTTATATAGGGTGTTATTCTTGGGGGAAGCTGGGTGAAGGGTACAGAGAAATTCTCTGTACTATTTTTCACAACTTTTGTGTGAACCTAAAATTATTTCAAAGTAAAGAGGTAAACAAACAAACAAACAAGCAAGCAAAAAAAACCCCAAGAAGGACAATATGGCGGTTCCTCAAAAAAATTAAAAACGGATCATATGACCCAGGAATTCCACTTCTGGGCATATACCCAAGAGAATTGAAAGCAGGGGCTCAAACAGACACTCGTACACTCATGTTCACAGCAGCTTTATTCACAGCAGCCAAAAGGGGGGAGCAACTCAAGTGCCCATTGATGGTTGATGGATAAGCACAATATGTCCATC